CCGGAAAAGCCCGCCTCACTTCCCCCCAGCCCGCAGCGCGCAGGCGCACCACGCGCCCGCCCGGCCGGACCGGCCGTTATGAGGCGGCCCCTCCCCCTCCGCGAGCGCACTGCGCCTGCGCCGCGCCCACGCACGCCCAGCCGCAAGAGGCACCGCGCATGCGCGCAGGGGCTCTGGGCCTCACCGCGCATGCGGAGGAGAGGGACGCGCCAACGGTGGTGCCCCCCGCTGGAGTGTGCGCGTGCGCCTTGACGTCACTAGGGTGGGGCGAAGCCTGCTGGAGGAGGAGGAAGGCGGGCAGGGCGCCTGCGCGGCATTGCGCAACCGGAACACAAGGGAGCGGCCTTGGCTCGCGTAATTTTCCCGGGACGCGCGCTGCTCATGCGCAGAGCCGGGCGCCGCCTAAACTCGACTTCCGCCTTGCTGCGGCTGCGCCTGCTCAGTTGGGGAAGGAGGGGGCTAAAGGGAGGATGTGCGCATGCGCGCACCGGCTGGGGTGTGGTTTCTATGGGGAGAGGCGCCACGCGATCCCACGTCAGCAGCAGCGCGCGGGGGTGCCCCGGGGTCCTCTTAAAGGGCCAGGCCGCGCGGGCCCGAGCCACGTGGGGGACGCAGGGCTGGGCCACGCCGGGCACAACATCGACCTACAGATTTCCAGTGCGGTCCGTAGTGTCCAAGCCAGCCTGTCCCCGGCTCTTGGCTCTAGTCTCGTGTGTTCCTGCAGCACACAGTGACAACTGAGACCTGGCCTCTGAGCCGTGCCCTGAGTCTGACAAGCAGTGCCACGTGTCTGTCAGAGATGTCATGAGTAGCAGATATACGGGGGCAGGGCTAGCGTTCAGAGTGACCTAGACAACTTGGAGGATCGGGTCAAAAGGAATTAAACAAGGACGAGTGCAAAGTCCTGCACTTGGGATGGAGCAATGCCCTGCACCGGTGGGGGCTGGGGGTGCCTGGCTGGGCAGCAGCTCTGCAGAAGAGGCCCTGGGGTGACAGTGGGCAAGAAGCTGGAGATGAGCCAGCAGTGTGCCCTTGTTGCCAAGACGGCTAACGGCATCCTGGGCTGCTTGGGTAGGGGCATTGCCAGCATGTCCAGGGAAGTGATTATTCTCCTCTATTCAGCACTGGGGAGGCCACATCAGGAGTCCTGTGTCCAGTTTTGGGCCCCCCACTACAGAAAGGATGTGGACACATTGGGGAGAGTCAGCGGAGGGCAACAGAAATGGTCTGTGGGCTGGAGCACGTGATTTATAAAGACTGAGGGAGCGGGGTGATGTAGTCTAGAGCAGAGGAGACGGAGAAGGGATTTAACAGCAGCCTTCAACTACCTGAAGGGGGCTCAAGAGAGGAAGGAGCTGGACTGGCAGATGACAGGACAAGGAGCAATGGGCTCAAGTTGCAGCAAGGGAGGTTGAGGTTGGATATTAAGAAAAACTCTCACTAGGAGGGTGGTAAAACACTGGAACAGGTTACACAGAGAGGTGGTGGACTCTCCATCCTTGGAGGTTTTTTAAGACCTGGCTCGACAAAGCTTTGGCTGAGATGATCTAGTTGGGGCTGATCCTGGTTTGAGCAGGGGGTTGAACTAGATGTGACCTCCTGAGGTCCCGTCCAACCCTCATTTTCTATGACTAGCAAGGGGTGCCGCAAGTTTATCAAGGGACACTGACTCTATCAAGGGGATGCCATGAGTCTACCAAGGGTTGCCATGAGTCTGTGAATGTTGAGAACTGATTAGAAGCACCATGCAGAGGTTAAGGTGGATCAAGTAAAACCTAAACCAACCCATCCCACCAGCCTGGGTTACGAACTCCGAATCTATTTTGGGAGGTTTCCAGAATGCCATCGTGCTCACAACACAACACGTATGTGCTTGTGTATACCACTTATAGATTATGGTGCGTAGACTTTACATCAGGAAGGAAAATGCACATTACTATTACATTTTAAAACCCCACTAGACTACTAAATAAATCAGATTAAACATTTAATGCATATTTTAATGAATGCCCTATCATTTATGTCCCAGGTGACTCTCAGCAGTCTCCTGGAGATTTATATCAAATTCCTGGAGACTCCAGGGCAATCCTGGCAGGTTGGCAACCCGACCACTAGCACGGACTCAGTGACCATGGATTGTGTCAGCCAAATCTAATTTCCTTGTCTGACAAGGGAATGGGTCCAGGGGAAGTGGCATATGTGATGCGCTGGGGCTATAGTGAAGCTTTTAGCATTGTGACAAGACGTTCTCCTGAGCAAATGCGGGAAGCGTGGTCTATGTGAAGTCCAGTTTATACACTGCTCTGTGCTGTCCTTTCACAGCATCTGATGAAATGAACTTGAGTTCGTGAAAGCTAGTGCTCTATATATACATCTTATTGAGTTAGGCTATAAGGGTGAGTCTCATCCATAGTGCACCCACAGTTGTGATTCAATCTTTGTCCCCCACATGGGAGACGTGGATTTGATTCCTAGATGCAGGTGTAACTACAGCTATTGAAGCACCGAAGGTCTGGGCTTTGGATACTGTCTTAATGGCCTAAAGCGGGGGGATAGAAGGTCTGGGCAGCCTCCCCTCCTCCAAACTCCTCTCTGGATGTGTGTCAAAAGTCCTGGTGACCTCTCACACATGCACTATGATCTAGAAGGACCATTGCCTGCTACATCAAGGATACCAGGGCACCCTGGGGTGCTGCCAGATCCTTTGAAGGGTGCCACAGGCTTGTCCCTGTTTGTCCCACACTCCCACTGCCAAGCGCCTTTGCACGAAAGGGAGTAACGTATGAATCCGTTTTTGAAAGTAGGTGCTGCTCAAGTGGCAAAAGTTACAGAAAGGGGTCTCGCATCCAATGTGGGGTGCCTGGAGTCCAGCAAGGTTGAGAACCTCTGGTCTGTAAGGCGTGTCTACCCTGCCTGCTATGTGAAGTCATTGTTAGACGGTTGAAAAAGCACACTTAAAAGATAGTTATCAATGTTTCACCGTCAAACTACGAGAATATTTCCAGTGGGGTCTTACTTCCCTTTGTCCTGGGCCAAGTTCCATTGGCTATTTTCATTCACATCCTGGATGATGCAATCGAGAGGGCAGTTATAAGCTGTCAGTCTTACCAAGCTGTAAAGTGTTTCAGGTGCTCTCAAGATCATGATCAGAAATCAAAATGAACATAATAAAGAGAGAAATTGTGTGCAAGCACCAAGATGGGATAAAGGGTAAGTGCAGCATGCTATGGAAGGAGAAAGCAAGGGCACAAATACAAAATGGGGACTCATTGGATAGGCAGCAGTATTTCCAAGAAGGATCTCAAGGTTACAATGGAGCATACACTGAACATAAGTCAATAATGTGATTTTGTTGCATAACAGGCAAATTTCATCCTGCATTGTATTAAGAGGAGTGTCCACCACAGAAGGTGGTTATTCTACTGTACTGGTGTGGGTGGAGACTTCAGATGAAATACTGGTGCACTTTAAGTCACGCTTTAAAAAGGATGTAAAGAGACTGGAGTCCAGAAGAAAGCAGCAACCACAAAAAAAAAGTGTTGCCATCATAACTTCATAGATTTCATAGACATTTGGGCTGGAAGGGACCCCGGAGGATCACTGAGTCCAGCCCCCTGCCCCAGGGGCAGGAAGTCAGCAGGGATCATAGGATCCCAGCAAGATAAGCATCCTAATGTGTCTTGAAGGCATTCAAAGTGGGTGCTTGAACTGCCTCTGGCAGCAGTCTATTCCAAACCTTGGGGGCTCAGACAGTAAAGAAGTTTTTCTTTATGTCCAGCCTGAATCGGTCGTGGTGGAGTTTGTGACCGTTCGATCTTGGGGCGCTCTGGTGAAAGATTTTCCCCCAGATCCTGATGAGCACCCCTGATAAACTTATAGGTGGCCACCAGATCACCCCTGAGCCTGCGCTTCTCCAAGCTGAAGAGTCCCATGGCTTTCAGCCTCTCATCATAAGGTCTGTTTTCCTGCCCTCTGATCATGCGCGTGGCTCTTCTCTGCCAACTTAAAAGGAAAGGTTGAAGAAACTGGTTTGTCTAGAAAAGACCCGATCAGCCTTTCAGAATTCAGAAGGCTGTTAAAAAGATGATTGATTATGCTCCATGCCCAAAATTGGCAGGGCAAGAAGAAAGTGGCTTAATTTGCAGCACAGAATTACGCTGGATACTAGCATGAACTTTCTCTAAGGGTGGTGAAGCAGTGCAACATGTTTTCTGGCATGACGTTGTGAAACCCTCAGAGGAAGTTTTTTGAGAACAAGTTAGACAGCTGCCCTGGATTCTTAGTAGGATCAGTGCAGGGGAGGGACCGTTGAGACTCTCCTGAGATCCTTTCCAGCCATGTATATCTAGGGTTGACCTGGTAGCCCCCAGAAGATCTCAAGTGCTTGCCCTTTATCCGAGGCATTGGAGGAGCAAAATTGGACACAGCATTTCACAAGGCTTAAGCTGCACTGAGAGGTGCGACCTAACTGGGTGGATTATACCGTGCATGTGCAGACATAGTACTCCAAGGGGTTGCCACCCAGTCAGTTTTCCCATGACCTAACTGGCTCGAGCAGAAGTGCTGTGGGTTTAGAACCAGAGCAGTACCCAGGCATTGCAAATTTGGCATCCACCCTTGGCAGAAATCTGAATGGTTAGTGTAACCATGTTGCAATAACCTGTCTCTGTCAAAGGGCTTTTTGTTCTGGGAAATGTAATCAGAGTATTGCAGAAGATTCAGTGAAGGTGCTCAGACTGTTTTCAACATGAAAAGTTGCATAGGTAAAGGCTGGGAGAGGAGGGGGATGGAGGAGTAG